TATAGAAGAAAACTGTCTATAACTAACTATGCTAATTTATATTTTCTGTATATCCCCACTTTTAGTTTCGTGACCAATAATGTATGTGTGTGGAGGGGAGTAGAATTTATGATTTTTTTTATTCACGAATTAACTATTTGTTCTGAAGTTTCAATTTTGTTTACAGTGATTATATTCTGAATATGACCTCGCTATCTCTATCCTGATCGCCCCCTGTTTATATCAGGGAGTGATATATACATCTACTTATTTGTCTTATCTGTCATTGTCTCTTTTATTTTGTAAAAGTATTCTTTTTTTGATAGTCTGGATTAGCTAGTAATCTTTTGCGCTAGAAAGAAATAGCTACCCCTTAAAATTAAAGTTTTCTATGAATATTATCACATGTTCTCGTTTTCTTTGAATACTGTAAACACGAGAAGCTATTTCATTTTATTCTAATACTATGTTGGATATAAAATATGTTTTTATTTCTATAATTACGAATAGACAACATTTTTTTACCGCTATGATAACAGATAAACAGTCTTTTTATAATGGGATCCCTGATATACTGTATTCTATGTTGATTTGTCAGAGTTATTATTAAAACAAGACGGTGGGTATTTTACCAAATTTGATTTAGCAGACAGAAAAGAAAATATAAATTTTACCTTTGAAATTGAAAATCAGTATCTCTACAATATACGAGAGAGAGAAAATAGAAAGTGATGCTTAATTTGTTATGCCTGTTTTCTTGCTATCACTATCATAATTTATCTCTTCTTTTGTTATCATTGTTATTATCTTTATTTTCATTATTACTATTACTATTATCAATATCTTTGTCATCATTATGCTTATGATTAACAGTACTCATCATTATTTTTATCATTATCGTTATCTTTATTATTATTATCATTATCCTTATATTATTATTATCATCATCATCATCATCATCACCACCACCACCACCACCATCATCATCATCATCATCATCATTATCATCATTATCATCATTATCATCATTATCATCATTATCATCATTATCATCATTATCATCATTATCATCATTATCATCATTATCATCATTATCATCATTATCATCATTATCATCATTATCATCATTATCATCATTATCATCATTATCATCATTATCATCATTATCATCATTATCATCATTATCATCATTATCATCATCATCATCATCATTATCATCATTATCATCATTATCATCATCATCATCTCATCATCATCATCAATCATCATCATCATCATTATCAACATCATTATCATCATTATCATCATTATCATCATTATCATCATTATCATCATTATCATCATTATCATCATTATCATCATCATCATCATCATTATCATCATTATCATCATTATCATCATCATCATCATCATTATCATCATTATCATCATTATCATCATCATCATCATCATCATTATCATCAATTATCATCATCATCATCATCACCACCACCATCTATCATCATCATCATCATCATCATCTCATCATCATCATCATCATCATCATCATCATCATCATCATCATCATCATCATCATCATCACCACCACCACCACCACCATCATCATCATCATCATCATCATCATCATCATTATCATCATTATCATCATCATCATCACCACCACCATCATCATCATCATCATCATTATCATCATTATCATCATCATCATCATCATTATCATCATCATCATCCTACGCATGAAGATTGAAATATAGCGATGACCAGAACACTGAAGGTAATGAATGGTAAAACAGTCTACTGTGTTGGTACTATGTTAGAAAAACCCACAAGGCACAAACTACATCTACTAAAAATCTAAACAGTCTAAAACAGTTTCGAATTCCTCCTGGTTTCCATCTTCTGATCCTGATGGAAGATTTCGAAACTGTTGTCTCATTTTTAATAAATCTAGTTCGTGCATTGCGGGTTTTTCTACTACTGGAGGCAATGCACACATACCGACAAAAGGGATAAATTTCCTCCCATATTTGCCCCCAAATAGATAGAAACTTGCTGAAAAGAGAGCTTACAACATCCTCCTCACTTCCCCTTGGTATCACTCTCACACGTGTACAAGGAATTTAGTTTCTCCTCAAAAATCCGCTGTTTATTTTATCTTTTCTTATCTATTGCCGTCGTCGATTTCGTAGGTGTTTTGTCTGGATGCCTCAGGTGCTGAATTTTGGCGTGTAATCGTATTCTCACTAATGGTTGTAGAAGTTGTGCGTGTATCGAGGGAGAAACATTGTTGAAGAAATATGGATTTTGTGTTTTATGAAATGTTTGTACCTTAGGCTATATACTTATAGATATTTGTGTGTATGTGTGTGTTTGTTTGTTCACCTAGCTTTTTATCGCTGTATATGTGTTTGTGCCTGTCCTTAGTTAAGTATTTTGATGCTTTTTATTCATAAAAATACTTATTGCGACGAAACAAAACCTTTTAAACTCATTTAGAGAGAGAGAGAGGGGGGGGGGAGATATAAAATTCCGTAAAACTTTTTCATTTTTATTTATCAATAAACTATGTAAAACAGTCACATCCATTCATTAATTCTCTATCACATTACCAGTAAAAAATATGATTACATACAGCTACAAAAATACTATAGCATGCCGAAGCTAAAATCACAAAATTGAAAGACAATTGAAAAGAACTATTAGCTAACCGAAAGAGGTTGTGTATAAAAAATCATGGGTGAATTATATATCACATGTAAAAATACAGAGACTCTTCATTTTTTTTTTTTTTTGCTAAATCATTAGTTACATATCTACATTATATTTCATACTCTAACACGCCGGTTACAGGAGATCGAAAAAGCGTATTTTGGCGAACAATTTGTCATAAAAAATGTCTTGCTTTTGTCGAAAAAAAAAAAAATTCCATTTTCGTTTTGTTCATTATCTATCTATCCGTCTCCTCATTTTTATCTATATATTTCTATTCCTATTTTACACATTTATTGATCTATTTACACATCTTTTTTTCCTGTGACAAGGTGCTAGACATTTTGCCTAAAACTGCTCTACAAAAAATCACCGAGCAAGGATTTACAAGTACTAAAAATAAACGACACTTGAAAATTAAATATCAAGTAAATATTAATTCCTCTCCAAGTGGAGACTCTCGGAGTGGACTGCAAAAATAACTTAACACTTGGGTATGCAAAGTACTAACTTGGAATGAATAGGAATGGACACTAAGATCCCAGTAGTCTCGATAAGGCAGAAAGATCTACAGATTCTTAACTTTTCCATGTTAAAGAATAGCATTTTATAACTACTGCTAAGCGTAACAAAGAAAGTACTAAGATTTCCCCAACGTACAGTCACGGACAAAAGTTGTGTCGCAAATGAAGCATGGAGTCGGAATGCTAAATATTTGACAAATAGTTTTTGACCGTGACTGTACATCAGAATATCAATACCTGGGAAAAAATTATAGATATACCATGTCTTTCGAATGAAATAACGGATAACAGGTCATTAAAAAAAAAAGTTCTACTGACTAGTTCTCAACTATTGTGTGCCTTTGAACAGCTCAGAGGAGGAAGGCACATTTAAAAAAGGGAGTAAAAATACACTATTTTACAATACACAAAGGAATATTTTACAGGAAGATACTAAGGGCATCTCTGTAACACACACTCACAGTCATTCAGCTTATTTCTCTACGTCAACTGGCTCAATTTATCTACAAAAAGATTTATTTTCACTTCATAAAATATCTACCGAAATATTTAGATATAGCTTCACCAACAATGACTGAAACTTTTTAAATATTCCAATCCAAAGTCAGCAACTTTTTTCTCTTCACTCCAAAACATATTATCAATATTAACAATAATAATTGATATAATTAATATTAATAGTAATTAATATTAATACCAATAACATTTAATGATATTATTACTATTAATATCTGATTTCTCTTCATACTAGCAAACGACCATTTTTTTCCCTCCAACAAACAAACAACTTCTCCTCACGCCACAAACAACTTCTCCTCACGCCACAAACAACGAAACAACCAAACGACTTCTCGAAACGACCCTCCCCCCCTCCCCCCTCACTTCAGACAACGACCAACACAAACGACCTCTCTGAAATCCACTCCACAGACGACGACCTCCTCATCCAAATCAACTCAAACGACCTCCAAAACAAACCAACCTCACTCACTCCACAAACAGCTTGTCAATCGGCACGACTTTCCCCTTGGCGTCCTTCCGAAGTCCCCCCCGCCACTCGATCGCCTCGATGGCATAGTACCCGACGGCGCCGAGGGAGATAAAGACCAGGAGAATCGTGATCTTGGCCTCTATGCAAATGAGGGTGCTGCAGGCGTAGGCGATGATGAAGCCCATGCTCTCCCACAGCCGGTAGTTGCTGAAGGCTGCCTCGGACTCGCCGGGGAAGATCACGCCGTAGAGAGCTGTGGGGGTGAAGAGAGAGGGGGTTAGAGAGGGGAGGGAGAGAGGGGAAGGAGTTAGAGATGGGAGATAGAAAATAGAGAGAGAGAGGGGTGAGGGGGAGGGGGGTTGAGAGAGGGGTTAGGGGAGGGAGAGGGAAGTTGGGGGGAGGAAGGGGGAGGTTGGTGTGTGTGTGTGTGTATATGTGTATGTGGGGTTAGGTAGGTATGAAATGGTTGAGTATTGGAGAGAGAGAGAGAGAGAGAGAGAGAGAGAGAGAGAGAGAGAGAGAGAGAGAGAGAGTGTGTGTGTGTGTGTGTGTGTGTGTGTGTGTGAGTGTGTGCGTGTGCGTTTGCATGTGCATGTTCATGTGAGTGTGTGCGCGAGTACGCATGCATGTGCGTGCTCGCGCGCGTGTATGTGGCACATATATATATATTCATATATCAATCTCCCTATAACACTTTGTATAAATCCTCATGCATATATCCATTCCTCCTTCCCTCCATTCTACCTTCCTCCCTCCCTACCCACCAATTCAAACAAAACAAACCCCGAAACGACATTCAAACAACAAACAAAAACAAACCCACCATTGATCTGGGTCTGCCACACGGCATCGGACACGCCCCACAGTCCGGAAATGACGAAGAAAATGGGCAGGTCATCCGGCGTCGGCATCCAGTGAATCAACGTGATAATAATACCCAGGTTGATGACGAAGCCCATGGTGAAGACAGGGATACGCCCGAAGATCTTGACGAGCGGACTGAAGCTCACGGAGCAGATAGCGTCGCAAACCCCGAAGCAGATCATGACGTAGCCGACCATGTGGACACCCAGGCCGCAGGAGACGTAGGCCTATGGGTGGGGATGAAGGGGAGAAAATTAAAATAAAAGAAAAAAAACTAGAAGAAAAGAGAAAATTCTGTATGTTATAAAAGGTGTGGATGTAAATGATGGAAATAATAACAATGAATATATAAAGGATATATAAAAAATAATATAAATAATATAAAAATGAATAATATACAAATATGAAAATGGTAATATGAATATAAACACTGTAACACACTACAAACACTATATTTTGGCATAATGTGCCTTGTTACCAATTTCACTAATAATTCATCAGCAAAGTTTATACTTTTATACTTTCTATTTAATAATTTATAATTTCCTTTTATTCCGCTTCTACTAAAATAAAGAAGAGATACAAAAACTATTGTTCCTATCTGCTAGATCTTATTGTTCTTAACGAATTCAGGTCTACATGAAAGCAAATGTAGGACTTACTTTTATTTATTTATTTATTTTTGCAGTTTGTGTCAGACAGAGAAAGAGAGAGAGAAAGAGAGAGAGAGAGAGAGATGGGGGGGGGGGGAAGAAAAAGAGAAAGACGGACAGAAAAAGAAAAAGTAAGAGGACAAAAAGAAAGAGACGGAGATAGAGAAAAACAGAAAAAAGAAAGACAAAGACAAAGAGAGACAAAGACAACCAAAAAGAATGAGAAAGGCAGACAAACAGGACACACACAAAGACAAAGACAGACACAGCCACAGCGAAGAAAACTCACAGCAGTGTAGTCAGCGCCGATGAAGGCCTGTTCGACACCCGACCAGATGGTGAGGGGAATGATCAGCAATTGGTACGGATGGCGCATGTGGTTGAAGGAAGCCACGAGGAGCTGCACGCCCGTTTTGCCCGAATTTGCATTGTTCTCCTCATCTTCGCCGAAACTGTGGGAGAGTAAACGAGTTTATGAGATTTGGATTTGGATGTTTTACGTGAAAGATTTACGTTCATCTTCGACGAAAGTGTGGAAGGGGTACACGAGCTTAAATCATTTGAATGATGTTTAATTTGCATGTATCTTTGACGAAATTTAGAAATGAACAAACAAAACATATATCCCAAAGCAAAAACAAACATTCAAACTTGAACATTACGAAAAAAAAAAAAATCAAACTCAGGACGCACAAAACCCCATCCTTTTTTTTTTTTTTTTTTACCTTTTCAGCGGATCTACAAAAAGCAGGATAATGACGGAGGCGAAGAGGGAGAAACACAGGTAAATCGTGGCCATGGTGTAGATCTGCCACTTCGGGATTTCCTCTTCGTCTTTTTCGCCGCCGTCGCTGGTGGTCGTGTTCGTCTGATCCCAAGGACAGAAGTTGATGCCGCACACTGCTAGGTCCTCCTCAGTGCGGTTCGTCTCGCCCACGCCCACGGACAGGACTGTTTTTTTTTTTTTTTGGGGGGGGGAAGGGGGGGAAGGAGGAGAAAAGGAAAAGTTAGTTTGTGAATGTAGTTTTTATTTGTTTAGTTCTTTTTTTTTCTGTCAGTGATATCGTAGTATATTATATGTATATATATATATCCCATTCTCGCTTTCTTCACTCTGAGTATAACCTATAACCGTCTTTCCCTCTCCCTCCCCCTCTCCTCCTTCCTCACACTATCCCTCCCTCAACAACCCCCTTTCCCCCTCTCCCTCTTCTCTCTCTCCATTTCCACTATCCTTTTCCCTTTCCACCCCTTCTCGCCCTCACATCCTCTCACCCCTTCTTCCCTCACCTTCCTTCTCCCCCCTCCTTCCTCACCCCTTCTCGTCTTCCTATACTCTCCCTTTTCGCCATCCCCTCTTCTTCTTCCTTTATCATTTTCTCACTTCCTCCCTCATCCCCTCATCCTTATCCTCTCCTCCTCCCACTCCCTCCCCTCGCCCCCTCCCCGAACCACTCCCTCGCCAACCCACTCTCTTCCCCTACTTCTCCTCCCACCCCCTCCCCTCTCCTCTACCCACTCCCTTTCCTTCTCTCCACCCAATCCCCCTCTTCTCCTCCCACTCCCTTCCTCTCTCCCCCACCCACTCCCTTTCCCCCTCCTCTTCCTCCCTCATCCACCCACTCCCTCTCTCCCCTCCTCCCTTACCCACCCACTCCCTCCCCCACTCCCTCACCCCCACCACCCTGCCTTACCTGAGGAAGAGATGAGGTTCCCCCACACCTGCGTCGACTGGAAGAACAGGAAGAAAATCCCAAAGAAACGAGTTATGATCACCTCGCTGTCTTCACCCACGAGTTCGCCGTAGATTGCTCCGACCTGTAGAGGGGAGAGGGAGGAGGAGGAAGGGGAGATTTAGTTACTGGGGGAGTGGTGGTGAGAGGGGGAGAGAGAGAGGGGGAGAAGGGAGAGGAAGGGTGAAAAGAAAGGGAGGGAAGGTGGGGGGGGGGAGAGAGGGGGAAGAGAGAGGAAGGATGGGAAGGGGAAGGGTGGAAAGTGGGAGGGAAGGGGGGGTGAGAGGGAAAGAGGGGGAAGGGGGTGGATGAGACCGAAGCGAAAGGAAGGGTGGAAAGTGGGAGGGAAGGGGGGGGTGAGAGGGAGAGAAGGAAGGGAGAGAAAGGGGAGGGAGGGAGGGAAGGTTAAGTAGGAGGGAGAGGGAGGGGAGGGAGTCTGGGAAGGAGGAGAGAGAGAGAGAGAGATAGAAAGAGAAAAATAGATAGACACACCGAAACAAAGACAAATAAATCAACCGATATCATTTAAACACCGAACAATGGCGTCTCCCTGGCCAGACTAAAACGTACATAATGGATGCAAAGAATTATGAATTATAAGTAACAGGAACAGCGACTCTCACATAAGTTACACGACCAGTATAAACCGAGTGAAAACGTTTCTTTGCCCAATATTTTCTGGTAAGAATGGACGTTACAGCAAGAATGTTTGTTATACTACGAATGATCGTTAATAGAACGAATGGCCGTTACAGGAAGAATGGTTGTTATACTGTAAATGATCGGTAACAGAATGATTGTTAAAGCTAAAGTGATCATTACAGGTATGAATGGTTGTTATAGCAAGAATGGTCGTTAGTAGAACGAACGATCGTTGTAACACAAATGGCTGTTACAATATGGATGGTCGTTACAGCACGAATGGTCGTTAATAGAACGAATGGTCGTTGTAATACGATTTTTATTAAAGTACGAATGTTCGTTACAGTGTAAATGGTTGTTTTAGTACTAATGATAGCTACAAGATGAACGGTTGTTACAAGAGTGGTTGACAGAGCACAAACGGCCATCAGAATATAAATGGCTGTTACAGCAGAAATGGTCGTTACAGTACGAATGGTTATGACACGAACAACCGTTTTAGCACTTCTTTATATAGTAGGAATGGTTCGTTACGTCACAACTCGTTATCGCCCTAACGGTCGTTACGATGTGCCCGTTAACGCTATTCCACTGTGACTGTTTCATTAACACCCCAAAGGACTTATTACGCCTCAAATTATAACTCCAGACTCGCTAAAGAAAAAGAACAAAAGAATATATAAAAAAACAAAAACAAAAGAGATACACAGAAAGTATAAAAAAATAAAAAAATAAAATACCACTCACCTTCGTCAGATACGTGCACTTAGCAGACCACATGGGCGCGGCTCCCATACCCAGGATGATAGCCGTGGGCACGAGCGTGTAGATCTCCGGGTAGAACTGGGAGGCTATGTAGGTCGAGTAGCCCAACATACAAAGGGCCATCGTGTATTTGGTCTTCAGTTTCTTGATGAGCCAAGAAGGTACGAAGCAACAGGAGATGACGAGGGCTGCGTACAGGGTGGAGAGGGAGGCCGTGCCGTCGACACTGCGGGAGAGGTTCAGGTTCTAAATTCGAAATTCAAAAGTTAAATTCAAGTTCAAAATTTAAATTCAGGTTCAAAATTCAACATTTAAATTCAAGTTCAAATATCAAAACTCATAATTTAAATTCAAAATCTAAATACAAGTTCAAATTCAAATGATTCAAATTAGCAATAACGTGAAATCGAAACTCAAAAATCAAAATTTAAATGCACATGAAAGGGGAAATTATTAAAATTCACAATCACAAATTTTAAATTCAGTGACAGAAGTCGAAACTCAAATTACAAAACTTATAATCAAAGTCGTAATTCAAATTAAACATTCAAAGAGAAATATACAGATAATGTAAAGTGAATATTTCTCTCTCTCTATATATATTTTTTTACTTTTTCTCCAATCATGATACTGGAAATTAATTAGAATATTACTACTGCTACTACTACTACTAAAAATAATAATAACAAATAATAGCGACAATAAAGGTACTAATTTTACTCATTAAGGTTTGTACTAATAAAACATTAGACATAACCAACAATTGCGATAACACTCATGCTAATGAAGATTCAAATAGTAGGCCTACACTATTAATCAAAATAAAAAAAAACGGTTCTTATTACTAGAAGAAATTACCCCCCCCTAAAAAAAATCTCATTAGGCGAAGAAAATAAGAAAGAAAGAAAAAAAAACTATGATTATTAGTCCAAGACGAAGAGAAAAAAAAGAAAAAGAAAACGCACTCGTTAATGGAAGACTGGAGGTTGGCCATCGAGTTGTAACTGGTGAAAAGGAAGACAAAAGCGATGGAAATGATGACAATATTCTTCAGGATCTTGAATTTTAGGGTCTTTTTCTCCGCCTCCGGGAGATTGCTGTATTTCGAGACCGTTGCGGCGCCATTTTGTTTGGCAGGTG